TTTTCTTTCTTGCTTCTTTCTTGTTCATCCTCTTGAATTTGTTTAACTTTCTTATCCAGTTTTCACAAACCTTATCGAAGTCTCTGTTCACAATAGATGTTTTTGGTTCATTTGATACTACTTTGGGTCTGCTTTGATGACAAGGCTCAAATAGATAGTAAGTTTTAAGAGCAGTTTCTTCATTCATTTTGGCTTTGTCTTGTTTTTGATAGTGATTTTTAACATTATTTATTTCATTAATATAGTTCATTTCTGCTAACTTTTGGTATTGAATTTATGCCTCAGGTTTGTTTTGATAACGATAAACTATCTTAGTGGACTTCTGATAATAGGTTACTTCGGCTTCATTTTCTTGTATCCTTTCTTTCTAATAGTTTTGGTTTCATTATCATTTTTCTTTTTTTTAATGCAACTTTCCTGTGGGGATCCTTGAATAACTTCTTTTGGTGTCCATTCTCATACAAGAGCTTTACATTTGATAATAATAATATAGCTACTTACTCTATAATAAGAGCACTAAGCTTTTCTTCAGAGGCTGTATCTAGTCAATTAGGTTTCCATAGAGCCTACAATATTTTTTTTTCTTTTTTTTTAGATAAGTATACTAAAATTTGGTTTCTTTCTTATTTCTAAATACTAATTTTATCTTTTCTTTTTAGGTATCCTTTGGTTTTTCATCAGGAGATAAGAAGAATGAGTCAAATCTCACAGAGGTTGTATCAAATCTTACAGTTACTACCAAAATATCACATACAGATATAGCTAGTCTATTACTTAATCTTCAAGTTCTCGTATAATGGATCACAATAACTTATTGAAAGTAGGTGTAGTGATTAGGCAAAGAGAATTCCAAGGCTTAGTTATCATTCGGACTCTAGTCACATAGTTAGTCTTAACATTATTGATTTCTTAACTTCCCTTAATCTATTCAGGTTGACCTATTCTCTCTCTTAGAATAGTTAAACACAAGATTTAGTAGGCAAATTCTCTTTCACAATAACTTAATGATACTTTAATCTTGTTTGAAGAGTAAATTAAATAGCATAATATTATATGAATATAAGTTTATTAACTTAGCGAAGTGTAGTTAGAATTATTAGCAGATTTATAGGTCAAAGAAAGGTTTGAGATAATTTATTGAAAACAAAATGTTTTTCAGCAGTACGATATCTTTATTAAAGAGCAAAAATACTCTGCTTATATAAACTTTACAACAATGAGATTGTGTATAAGTCTTATATGTCTTTTCGCTCTTATAGCTCTTAGAAGAGATATAAGACTTATTACTCCTTTAATACTTATAACTCCTATTACTCCTATAAGTCTTATAGTACTTTTAAGACTTATAACTCTTATCGCTCCTATAAGTCTTATAATACTTTTAAGACTT